TTTGCATGGCAGGTATCAGCAATTGTTGAAACGCAACTGTATATATGTGAACAACCAAAGCAAGAAATGTTCAAAAACGTGATTGGTACCCATGCTGACACAAAGCTTGAAGAGATTGAGATGCAGATGTACAGACAACACTGTGAGTTCATTGACCAGGCATTGGTATCGGACTGTGAGATGTCGGGAGCTGAAGAGTTGGGGGATGTCAGTGACACAGACACAACAGAAACACGCCGAATAGATGACATCAGGTTTACACCAGACGCTGAAAGTCCTACTGGGACGATTGACATCTCATTTAAAGATAGGAGGAAGTGTTTGCCGACTCCGTGTGGCTCATACAATTAATACGAATACGTCGATCTGGATCCCTTATTCTTTTCACAATGTAACACAGCCGGATAATTTTGGCCCCTGACCTACACATGCAAAATGTGGCATTGGAAACAACCCACCATGACCCAGTAGAAGTCCATTCTCCACAAGGTGTACCGCAGTTAAAAGAAAACTAGGTGATAGTTGAGCGAAATAAAATCTTTCTCCGTTTTCGCAAAAGAATATTTACTTGTTTACTGGACTTGGGGAATGTCCTGAAAAATTACGTATTGTGTGTTAAATGGCCAGCACTTTCTATTAACAGGTTTTATAAAATATTGATCAATTTGATAAGATTGCTGATTTTTTTCCATTTGATCTGCTGCGAGTACCTCGTCGTCAACATTGTATAGTGTCTGGTACTCGCGATCAACTGGAGAAAAATACTCAACAACAAAAGTTTCTGTGACACCAATATTTTAGTGTTTTTTTAAAACAAGTAAAGTTTGGTTTTCAATATTGTAGTACATGTATGGAATCAACTGCTACAGAAAAGCATGCATTCCATGCAAAAGTTGACTTTTATGCAAGCCCCATGCATTTCATTACCCAAGAATGGGCATAAAAAACATGTGCGTTAACGGGATTCCACATGCATTGTTTAGCATCGTGCTGACAACAACCACTCAGAAAAACAACAAAATTACCCAATTATTCAACATTACGAAATGCCACGCTTGTCCGAAAATGAGCGTCTGCGAGCCATTGGTATGCTTGAAGCAGGATCGAGTCAACGTGATGTTGCAAGACAATTTAGCGTCCACAGAAACACCATTTGGTGTTTATGGCAACGTTGGCAACAGACGAATGCAGTCAGCGACTATATTCGGAGTGGCAGGCCACGAGTAACCAATAATCTAATCAACAAGATAACTGGACTCAAACAACACACCTAAGAAATCGATTCCAGCCAGCAACAGTGACTGCAAGAAGCATCCCTGGCCTTCGGCGAATATCTTCACAAACCGTACGTCGCCGCCTCAGATGTGCAGGGACTGTCGCCAGAAGACCAGCCAGACGTCCCATTTTGACAGGAAACCACCGGCAAGCACGTCTTCAGTGGTGCAGACAGCGTCTACGCTGGACGGCCATGCAGTGGGGACAAGTTCTATTCACTGACGAGTCTCGTTTTCACCTCCGCGGATTCGAATGAACCGACGTCGAGGTGAACGTTACGTCAATCATTGTGTCATTGAAGAAGATCGGTTCGGGGGCGGCAGCGTTATGGTATGGGTAGGATTACAGCAAGACAGAGGAGCCGTTTGATAGTGGTAGAGGGAAATCTCAATGGACAGCGCTACCGCGACGAGATCATTCTACGAGATTGTTCTACCGTTTTTGCGTCGTCATGGCCCAGGCGTTACCTTTCAACATGACAACGCCCGGCCTCATATTGCTCGACTTGTTCAGGATTCTCTTCAACAAAACAACATAAATGTCACCCCCTGGCCGGCTCGCTCCCCTGATCTCTCACCAATCAAGCACATGTGGGACGAGATGGATCGGCGCCTATGACGTCAACCACTTGTTCCACAGACACTCCAGGAATTTCGAAACATGCTCCAGCAGATATGGACAGATATCCCACAGGACTTTGTGCGACGCCTGGTCCATTCCATTCCATGAGAGTGAGTGAGTGAGTATGGTTTTACGCCGCTTTTAGCAATATTCCAGCAATGTCACGGCGGGGGACACCCGAAAAGGGCTTCACACATTGTACCCATGTCGGGAATCGAACCCGGGTCACCGGCGGGATGAGCGAACGCTTTAACCACTAGGCTACCCGACCGCCCCCAATTCAATGAGACGAAGATGTGTTGCTTGCATCGCAACTAGAGGTGGACACACAGGTTATTGATTTGTAAATTGACATTTTGGTGTGTTCATGTTTTTTTTATATTAAATCACGCATTTTCTAAAGTCAGTATGACAAATGATACCGTTTGAACACTTACAGGAGTCTTTTGTCTGTTGCAAACCGAAATTGTTTCAGATTTGGTAAAAAACATAACTTTGCATTAAATCTTATTCAATGTCACAGGAACTTTTGTTGTTTAGTATATAAGCGATTGAGAATACGAAAGGACGTGTACAGCATAAGAATTTGTGGCTTTGACTTTATTGCGAGCGTTCAGCTCTCAACTCCATATTTTCTTTAGTTTACATTTGCATTCTATCCGAAGTTAGTATTCGATATGGGTATTCTTGAGTTTGTCTTTACCGGTCGCGGAATCTCTAAGTATGTACTTATGGTCAACAACTACTCTCCAAAGTAAGCTGACCGATCCTCTCTCTTCTACCTTTCCAGGTTTCAGATGAAGAATGTTGCATTTATGTCAATATTATTAGAAAAGGACTCGAAATGGAGAATCTGTTTTTTCGGTTTGATTTACCCTTCGCCAAGAAGTTCAAGGTCATCATATATAGGAGGTGAGTAAGAGTTGTTGAGGATCTGTGCTCAGGGAGTCCAGTGACTTTAAAGACCATTCATGGGGTACAGAATCATAAGCTTCTCTGTAGTCTATCCAACACATTGAGAGGTTACAGAGGTAAGTTTTAGCCTCTTCAAAGACCATTTTGTAATTAACACTTGATCCTAACAACCGCAACATCCCTTTTCGGCTCTTTTATGCTCCATGTAAATATCATTGGAAGCACAGGATATGTAAGACACCCTGTACATATTTTATTTGAGTGTTCAGACAAGACAGTAATAGGGCGAAAGGTTTTGGGATCAGTCAATCACCTTTCTTTTGGAGAAGTATTGTTCAACCTTTTCACAACCAAAGCAGAACATCCCCTGTATCCAAAAGAGAATTTAAACAGTGAAGTGCCGGTGTTTGGCCACCTGGCGCCGTATTAGACTTGGACTTTTTTTTATTCCATTTTTCAGGCAATCAGGTGAAATTAAACACATCAATGGTGACCTTTTTTTTGTCATGTACAATATCTTTGTAATCCTCTACCCATGGTTCCTCGAGGTAACAGTTGCTGGGTATAGACCACAACTGTTTCCGAAATCTTTCAATGGACTCCATGGTGGGTCCTTTTACACCAATGGCATTGGTTGCATTTAATTGCCTTTAAAACTTCAGCTTCAGTTTTAAAAAACTTATTTTGTTTTATAAAATTATTTTTTCTTGTCTCACTTTCTCTTCCTTTCTGTTTAAATGTTTAACTTTGCTTTCGGAGAATCAGGAATTTGATTGAGATTTGTTTCTTTTGTTGTCCTACAATTTGTTTTCCGTTTTTTCCAAATTGATTTTTGATGTTTTGACTTTTAACAAAAATAATGTCATTTACATATCAAAGTCATTCTGTGGAAATGATTGGTTACATTATTTAATTGGCCTCCGTTTCTCAATCGGTAAATCACAGCTTTGATCATTAAATGACAAAATATACAACGGATCATCAGAAAGATCATTGACAGAAGAGGGGTCAGAATCGAAAGGAAACTCAAAATCTTCGAGGCTAACATCAGGGATTTCATTTTGTGAGCCCAATTTGTGGATCATCAGTGACAACTGCAGGTAATTTAAGGATAACAATATTAATGGAGACGTTCATTTGCAATGTCTGGTCTACAATGTCTATTGTTGGAACGGAGGGTTCATTCAAAGGTGCCTGACGAATGTTGACAGTAAGCCAATCAGGCGCATTGCGCAAATGATTTCAGTCACCGGAGCTGGTCGCGAATATTCTGGTGTGCATACAATGACATTGCTTTGTCCCGATGCTGCTTCAATAGTTATTTACTCGTGGTATTCCTGGCCATCCTGTTGCTTTCGCACACTCAAGAATTTTGGACTTGAGTTGATATGTTCAATCAAAAGCAATCTGAGGCTACTGACTGCGTAACAATATCACAGATATATCCATCACTGTAAATATCATTTTTTAAATCTTATTTCCAATTTTCCCGTTTCACATGTCGGACATGGAGCGTTGACGGGTACCGTATATGTGGATACCTTATATAAATGTACATATGTATTGGTGATTTATCAGTGGAAGAACTGATGCAATGACATTTTACAAAACGCAGAGTAAAATCGAATTTTCCGCAATACTGCATCCAAACTTGTATTCGGTCACTAAACATTACAACAATGGTTTGTAGCTAAATGCTGCATAATGCATAATTATTACCACTGCGTCAATGCTAGCGTTTTAAACACACAGCTACGGGTTTGTTTGTTTGTTGTCCGCTATATGACGGCGGGCTGTAAATATTCGCGTCTGGATCAGACAACCCAGTGACTGAAATCATGAGCATCGATCTTCGCAACTGGGGCACGATGACATGCATTGCGAGTATAACATACGCCGGTGTAACATGGATAACTATAACTTGTCTCTGTAAGAGTCTAACTATCGACAAGGCGTTCTACAATAATCTATTGAACAAACGCACAGGGTTTCCTTATAAGCTTGTTATCTAGCAATCGTTAGTTGGAGGAAATATATCTCGATGACAGAGAAGTTTAATCTGTCCATCTAAAATTTAAATCGACCAGGTAAAATAACGATAAGGAAGTACAATGCGTTGTTATAGATGGCGTGCTGACTTTTGATTGGCTTGCACCTGTCTGAACTTGATACTTAACGTGAGAGGATTACTAGCACCAACATACGATGTCCACCCTAGCAGCGTGTGTCGCTGTGGCAGCAGAACAACTATTCATTTGGATCACAAATAGACCCAAAAAACGTGTCATTGGTAAGTTTTGCTCAACCTTTACATGCATTAAAACCTTCCTCTCCGGAAGTACAGTTGCGGTTCATACGGGGGCATCCTACTTGTCCGGCACCTTTTGTCTTAGTAGTAAAATCGCCCAGGCGTACTAATTGGTCAAACAATAGGGGGATTAGGGGGGCATCTCAAGATTTTATGCTAGGGGTGAACCGCCAAAAAAGAAGCGGTATCGGAATTTGGAACACGCTCTTGAAAGAGAGAAGCGACTTCTGGCTACAAATCAGAAATCCAAATACCAATACTATGACGCAGTGTCGCATCTTGTTGGTTTGTGAATTGTGAGTGTATGTACAGAAATCTTATTATATATCGAATAAATAAAGAAACTTTTTGAATACAAGGGAAAAGCATTACTGGTGATATTATTGTATTGTATTTTTTGTTTTTCTTATAAAAGTATTATTTGAAATATATACATATGTAGTTTGTAAATGTGTATGTATGTGATATTCCACAATTTGTATATGGATGTACTCGAATCTTTATTTTTAAAACAATATCAATGGAAATAAAAGGTTGAGCAAAAAACACTTTCTACTGAGGCCGGAATACTGGGGAATACCACCTTTTATTTTATTAATGATAACAATGGAATCATTCGACCGACATTGCTGCTGAATAGAGGTAGTCTGAAAAGAATATATCCAAGCCACTTTCTGTCTTTGCTAATATCCCGATTTTGTATACGTATTGTATGTTTGAACACATTAGCTACCATCGTGCAATGCATATGATAATGATATTAATTGATTTTTATATCGTTTGGTACTCAATTGCGCTAACAATGTGTGCAATATGTACACAGAAAGGGGGGGGGGGGGGGGGGGGGGGTACGAAACAAGGTGATCATGGCACCCTGTGTCCACACGTCAACCGATGTGCATTAGAGTTAAATGCGATGATATAACTTTCAAGCAGAAAGCATTATTGAAGAGTTGTGTCGTGTGTGCTCTCTTGAAAGATGCAAGTGACGCGATTGCCATTTAGTTGAGGCTTCTCTCCTAGGAAATGTGTCCCGTTATGGTTCTGGTGCTCGGCTGAGCCAGCAGACTCCACAGTGTGAGTTTCAGAGATAATCTTATGCTTTATCATCAAGTATAGACGTATGTGCCACAAATAGTAGTCTGCGCCAGTGAAGGGATTGTGAAACGGGTGAGATATGTTCAGTGTGACGGATTTTGTGATTCACAACGAATTGCTGTTGGTCAGCAGTGACCCAGAAATGTTGATAAAGAGTGAATAAATTGTGATCTCGTTTTGAGAGGTTTGGTTGTCTGCCTGTCCAGCATGCAACGGATTTTTTTGATTATGCGAATGTGAACGAAGCAAGATTTCAAGATTGATTTGCTGACGCATTCTTCAAGTGAAATGCTTGATTGAAAGATAACTCCAAGGAGTCTCACAGAAACAGTGAGTGAGCGAGTGAGGTGTGTTTTGACGCCGTTTTCAACAGTATTCAAGTTAAATCGTGGCTTGTCAGCCTAATGTGGGAGGAAAGCCCGACGTGATGCGGGTTTCAGACGTTTACCACTTCGATGAAACCAACGAGCACGGGTCTAGTGCTTGCAAACCTAGAAACATAATCGGGGCGAACTGGGATTCGAACCCACGATCATAGGTTCCTGGCGTGCCCAAAGGACCCAACTCTACACAGCGAATGACGGCGCCTTAGACGACTGGGCCACCTGTGCCCCCTTCACTCAGGCAGAAACTTCATAATTGCCTCTTTTGGCAGAAAGTCCAGATGCACATTTGATCCTATAGTGAAGCATTCAGCTTTGCTTTTATTTAAATTAACACGGTTAGCTGTCATCCCAGCCTTGATATGCATGATGCATATTTTCGTTTGTTGCAATCATCAGTTGTTTGTGATGGTTCAACGAACACATATTATTTATGGAATGTTACTTATGGACAGAATTTCGAGACTGAAAGCAGAAAACCCAAGGCTGAATCTTGAATCGCCCCATATTTAACCCAAAATAAGTCGTGCCACCCCGATAGTCCAATTCTTGTTGCCAGCCGACGACGGACGGTTGTGTGATCCTTTTAAAGGCTGCTGATAAATAGAGCGCGCAAAGTGGGATCTGTTGATGATCCTCTGTTGCAATGCTGTGGTTATGGACACTCACGTGTACATTTCGATACTTTTGGAAATAACCTGTCTGAAGTTAATTGTTAGTTGAGAAGTATTCTCACATTTTCTCGTCTCCCTTTTGACATGGGAAATGTCTGCCGTGAAAGCGGAAAGTAGGTCACATGACCGTGTCATGCCAAACAAGATAAAATATGGTAGTTTTTGTTTTCCTGCCTGGCGCTCGGCATTAATGGGATAAAACAACGACTGATTAGTGCAGTATAATGTTAGTGGGTTAGTGAGGGCTAGTACAAGGCGCAATGCACAGCATGTATGCACATCACGATAAAAGTGCAGTTATTTTGAACGTTAACCCCACTTTCACCTCACCTTTCTGATTCTGGTAATTGCAACTATTCCAAAAATGCATTTGATATTGTAGTTACTTAGCTAACTTGTGTCGTTATGTTTGGAGTATATGCCTATAAACCTAAACATTATGAGATATTAAATATATACATTGTTCATGCTTCCAGGGAGCGGATGCCTATTAATATTTTTTAACATTTGACCTGTAAACAAACATTTTGAATAATTAATCTTTTGTTAATTTAAAGTGGAATCGTCAAATGTGGTTATTTACATTAACATTAATCACCTCTTTTTCTTTCTTTTCAGTTGTCCAGTTTCTTCTCTAACATGCTGACGATTATTAGCAAATATTTCAATTGAAACTTAACACTGGTTCAATCATGGATCTATTGACCAAGGTGTTGATGATATTGATTACAATGTTTGCTTCTCCGGGTGTGGTTTTGGAGTCTCTTGACTGCCGACCTTGCAAGTGTTTTTCTGTGAATGGAAACATTACAGCAGATTGTATGAATAACAACTTGACAGAAATCCCTTCATCGATCCCACATTTGACGAGTGTGTTGCGATTTTGTGGAAACAATTTGGGCAAACTCAAGGAAACGACTTTTAAAAACCTCACTTATTTAAAGATTTTAGATTTAAGACAAAATAACCTAAGATACACAAAAACAACATTTCCATCGTCCGTGTTTCAAAATCTGACACATCTAGTCATCTTGAAAATCAATGATAACAATATGGATTCACCTGATGATATAACAAAGTACCCAGTTGAAGCAATAGAGAAGCTTGAATCTCTCAAATGGTTGTGGATTGATGGTCTGAGAAATCAGATATTTGGTAAGGGGTTTTCCAAACTAAGAAATCTTAAAAGACTAACAGTAAGTAGTAGCAGTAACGCGTGCAACATTAACTCTATAAGTAATGCTACATTTAGATACTTACTATTTCTTGACCATATCGAGGTAGTCAAATGCAACGTAAATTCAGTTGAGCAAGGGGCATTTGCTCTCCAACGGAAAGTTAAGATTTTAGATCTTTCGAAAAACTATTACCTACGGTTTGAAGGTGTCACAAATGCAACACAAGGGATATCTCCGTCACTTGAGAAATTAATTATTAATGAAGTAGTTCCATCATATGCCCTTTGTGTTAAAATTGACGATAAATTTTGCAAAAATCTCCAAAACACCAGTCTTACTGAACTGCACGCGGAGAACAACAGCGTGATTATTTTCAATGCCACTGCCCTTACATTCTTTCCGAAGTCACTTAAAAGGGTATTTATGAGGGGAAACAGGTTTCAATATAATACTTACATCGGGTCTATTGCATCTTTAACAGGGTTAGAAGAGGTTCACTTAGGTGGCCCATACAGCCCGATTATGCCATTTCCACACACATCGGAGCTTATGCAAATGGCACCATGTGATGGTTGTAAAATGTTAGATTATGTATATGCGCCTGATGAACATTCATCGCAATATTCATCTGAGGCCCAACATAATGCCGCCAAAATCAGTATACCCCACAACCTAACGAAAGTAACGTTTACATCTTCACAAATTTATGCCCACATCCTCAATGTTAGTGTAAGCAACAATAGCATTAAAAAAATTGATATTTCAAGGAATCTTTTCACAAAATGGATCGGCAGTATTTCTGGATTTGAAAAACTTGAACATTTAGACATTTCAAGAAACATTGCAAATGATGTCAGTTCGGTTTTCTTTCAGTCGTTTCAAAATCTAAAATATCTTGACATTTCACGTAATCTCTTGGGGGTTGTTTTAGCCAAAGGAACAAATGGGAACATATTCAGCCACTTGGATCAACTTCAGATATTGATTATGTCAGAAAACTTCATAACTAAATTGTCAACTAGAGTCTTTACGGATTTATCATCATTGACCAAGCTAGACCTTTCGAGGAATAGCATTGAAAATTTGTCATTTGACATCACTCATATGAAAAACCTCCAACTTCTACGATGTTCAAAGAATCAAATACAATGGTTAGCGCAAAGCTTCCGCGCAAACCTTGATGAAATCTCGAATGACCATAATATAACAGTGGACTTATCTCAGAACCCTATTGCCTGTACGTGCCATAACCTGCTGTTTCTATCTTGGATGAAAACATCAACTTTAAACGGGAAAATATCATTTGGAAACCTTTCAGAGTATGACTGTGTTCATGAGGACGATCAAACTGTGAAACTTGATAATCTTGAGGAAGTTTTGAGAGAACTAGAGATATCATGCTATAATTATTCCGGGTTCTTTATTGGTATCTCGTCAGTTGCATTTGTTTGTCTCGGTTTGTTAGCGTGTTCACTTCTGTATAGATTTCGTTGGAAGTTAAGATATGTATACTATGCAGCAAGACACAGATACAGTACAGAGGGCCCATCAAGCCATGAGTTTGTGTTCGATGCCTTTGTTTCCTTCGCAGAAGAAGACCGTGATTTTGTTGTCAATGAGCTCCTGGTGAAGCTAGAGGATGAGTCAGACATGAGACTGAACTTCCATCAAAGGGACTTCACCCCTGGCCGTCCTATAGCTCATAACATCATCAAAGCTGTCAAAACCAGCAAACGAACGCTGGTTATCTTGTCAAGAGAGTTCTTAAAGAGCCACTGGTGTGTCCATGAGCTTCTGATGGCTCACATGGAGAGTGTGTCTACAGGTAGGGATGTGTTGCTGATTGTGATGATGGAGCACATTCCGACAAACAAAATTCCAGTTGAAATATTGTATCATATACAATCGGATTCTTATTTAGAATATCCATTGGAAGGGCAGAAAGACATGTTCTGGAGAAGACTCATTGATTCCCTCAAGGAATAATGGAACGGATATGGTACTATTTACATTATTGTTTATTGAGTGCACGTGCAGATATAGCAGGCACACACAGAAGCGGAAATCATCTAATATCCTCAAAATGTCATGGGAAACAAAGTCAACCAGACCATGCACTGAGTCACAGTTGTAGCATATTCAGCTAAGTGTAACAACTATTAAGCGTACTTTGGAATTTCCTTTGTGAAAAGGTGCTATATAAGTATGTACCTTATATTGGGGAACCTCTTGTCAGTGATTAGATTTGTTTATACTCTTGAATGTTACCTTTGTACATTTGTGAAATATTATAGTGTATATACAATGCAGTATATAGATTTTATATCAATATATGATTACGCCGTGATACATGTAACAATGATTGGAGTTTAGTATGCTCTTGTGTGTTAACTTTATGAGTTTAATTTGTGGAATTATACAGTGTATTATATATATGTAAGAAATAGATGACAACGCCACGATATATATGTACTTGACGTTTGCTTGAATTGGCTATACGAGTCACTATGAGCAGGTTTAATCAATTATGTTCATGCGGGTGTTTTGTTTGTGACCTGTAAATGTTGGCAGGAAAACAACGGGCTGAAAGAATGAGCCCCGCCCAGGCCCTCGGCATTACATGACGGATGTTCAGTCAAGTCAAGAACTGTGTGAGTGAGTTGGGTTTAATGTCGCTTTAAACAGTATTCCAGCTATATCATCGTGTGTCAGCTTAATGTGGGGGAAAACCCGAGGTGATGCAGGTCTTAGACGTTTTCCACTTTGGTGAAACCCACGAGCACGGGAACCGGGATACGAACCGACTATCATAGGTTTCTGGAGTGCCCAAAGGACGCAAATGTGCACAGCAAATTACGGCGACTTTGGCTATGGGCCTACCGTGCCTCCGCCAAGTCAAGGATCCTGACCATAGGATTTAGTTTAGTCACCACTTACAATCAGCAATAGATTGTTGGGAAGGCTAGTTCTAGTTGTACCATGTGAAGTTTGAATTATGTGCATGTAAAGATTCACCATGTACTTCGATGTTTGATAGGTGAGGTGAGGTGAATTGGGGTTAAACGTCGCGTCCAAGATTATTGCACTTATATAGCGACGACGTGCATGTACGTGTGTGTGTTTGTGTGGCTGCTTGTACTAGTCAGGGCTGATGCCGATTTATAGTGCTAGCTCACTGAGATACCATGCCGCAGTTTAACATGAATACCCCACTCAGACACAGTATACTGGCTCCGAGCCGACCAGTCCTTGTTTTAGCCCCTTAATGCCGAGCGCCAGACAGGGTAACAACAAGTACCACCTTTTAACGTCTTTTGGTATGACGCGGCCGGGGATCGAACCCCGGACCTTCCGCTCTCCGGGCGGACGCTCTACCACTAGACCACAGAGGCGGTCTCGATGTTTGATATACACAACTGTTGTATATAACTATTTCTTGTATTTGTGTTAGTTGCATGCTACTTCCCGACAAAAGAATGTATTCACTCATGCATTATATGGGGGGCAGTCGGGTAGCCCAGTGGTTAAAGCGTTCGCTCGTCACGCCGAAGACCCGGGTTCGATTCCCGACATGGGTACAATGTGTGAAGCCCATTTCTGGTGTCCCCCGCCTTGATATCGCTAGAATAGTGCTAAAAGCGGCGTAAAACAAAAACTCACCTCACCCTCATGCCTAATGGTGGCTAAAAATAAAACAAACAAGAAATGGTTATTCGATGGTGATGCATTTGATACAGGTATAAAATGCGATATTACATGCATCATATTATTGCGTATCTCACAACATAAGTGTTTTAGACTTGTAACCATTACATTTGTTTATGTCAAATCCAATTGTCATGTGTTTACTTTCTTATATCGAAGCATTTTCGTCGCTGTTATGAAATTGTATTTCATTTCAAACTGATTATGAGTCATTAAAATTTCACAACCGATCGATATTATTGTATGTACCTAAAAAAGGATAAATTGCAACATTGAATAGTTAATAATTACCCAACGGAAGATGTACGACATGAATTTTCATCACCGAGTCACCATCACAGACGTATATCGACACCAAGTATACTAAAGCACATGCGACATGCCTTAACACGGCCATGTGTTAATTTTGAACTCCGCCTTGAGTTAAAGAGGTTGTGAGATTATCACATCAATGAGCAATATTCCAGAAATATTATGACGGAGTACGGGAAAAATTGACTTTACACATTGATTGAGTGAGTGAGTGAGTGACTTGGGTTTAACACCGGTTTTAACATTATTCCAATTATATCACGGCGTGTCAGCTTAATGTGGGAGGAAAGCCCGAAGTGATGCAGGTCTCAGACATTTACCACTTCGGTGAAACCAACGAGCACGGGTATGGTGCTGACAAAACCTAGAAACATAATCGGGGCGAACCGGGATTCGAACCCACAATCATAGGTTTCTGGCGTGCCCAAGGGACGCAACTCAGCACACAAATCGCGGCGCCTTAGACGACAAGGTCACCCGTGCCCCCCTTTACACATTGTACACATTTGGGGTATACGAATCAGAATTGTCAGCTTTAGTTAACCCTGGCTACCCTAGGCTACCCAACGACCCCTTTCAAGCTTTGTGTGTCGATATATCATTACAAAACTCTCAAATGCATGTCAGGAAGGTTGTTTGTTTTACATGGTGCTGGTATCAGGCGTTAGCTATATCGATTGAATTTAAATGTTACTTTGTTTACGGATACATTGATCCAAATTTTGATAAATATTGTATACAATAATTTATTTTTTTATAATTAATCGTTGAGAAAAACCCTTTAGATTAAACAATGCAGGCCATTCGTTACCAATTCTTGCACTTTATGCTTGTCGTAAAAGGCGACTAACGGGATCGGGTGGTCAGGCTCGCTGACTTGGTTGGTGCATGACATCGATACCAATTGCGTGGATCGATGCTCATGATATCAATCACTGGATTGTCTGGTCCAGGCTCGATTATTTACAGACCGCCGTCATATAGCTGGAATATTGCTGAGTGCGGCGTTAAACAACAAACAAACAAACAAACAGGTTACGGAAAGGGGCGAGTGGTGAGGAATGAATGCAGGCGAGCTGTGAGCTGTTGTTCAAGTGAGCTCTAAATCCAAAAATATTCTGCACACAGTTTATGTGTGTCGTCAATGTATTTCTATAAATAAACCGACCTCTGAGCGTGTGTGCTGTCAGCGACAATGAACAGCTGAAAAGCCAGGCTCGTCTCTGACCAAGTGGGTATTGCGACTCGCCAAAGCCTTTCACAGTTACCTCCCTTTTCCCAATTCGCGACAACGCACCTGGTGTATACATTCTTTGCTAGCTGTGTCGATCAATTAGAGTCAAGCTGGTGCGAGTTTTATAAGGACGATGACATTCATGTGAGAAACAGACATCACCCGTGATATACGTCAAGGTATGTACTGTACAATGTGTAAACCTCGTTCAAGTACATAACACAAGGAAGTGTCTCCGAGTGTCACAACAACTGAACAAGAAGGGAAGATATTAAACACAGACACATTCACAGATAGTGAGTAGGATTACTAATCGATAAAGTTCTTAGCACGCGTCTCAGTGTGTGACGAAATGAGGAAATGTCATGATAGTTGGTTATCGACATGTGATCAGTCAACAGTACACAGCCTTGGGCGTCGGCTGTTCACATGATCGCCAGGTTGTACACCTCCCTCACACAAGATCGCGAATGAGGACAATACAGGTCATGACCCGAGGCGTCAGGTTTCTACTGAAATGAGATCTGTAGGTTTCCCTGATCATCGGACCTTGAGATAAGCCCAAACTAACAGGAAAAGGTCAAGGAGTGTCGCAATGAGTTTCGTAGTGTGCTAGATCCTGGAAAGCTGATTATCTCAGAGTTCATGTAATTCGGGTCATTGCGTCTGTTTACTACGAATACATAAATATTGATCACGCAAGGGGGCACGGGTGGCCCTGTCGTCTAAGGCGCCGCGATTCGCTGTGCAGAGTTGCGTCCCTTGGGCACGCCGGAAACCTATGATTGTGGGTTCGAATCCCGGTTTTCCCCGATTATGTTTCTAGGTTTGTCAGCACCATACCCGTTTTCACCGAAGTTGTAAACGTCTGAGACCTGCATCACTTCGAGCTTTCCTCCCACATTAAGCTGACACGCCGTGATATAACTGGAATAATGTTAAAAGCGGCGTTAAACCCAACTCACTCACTCACTCACTGATCACGAAAAAGGAATCAGTAAATATGTTTGACAATGCTATACAACTGTATACTTTATAAATTAAAGTTAAAAATAAGAATATTGATTCGGGTAGATATGTTTGCTGATTTTGTGTTAAAATCTCTCTGTAATCGGTCGCTATTATGATATTGCAACGATGCACGCACACCCGTATGTATGTATGTTTGTATGTATGTACAGGTGAGGTGAAATGGGAAGATTATTGCACTTATATAGCGACGTGCATGCACGTGTGTGTGTTTTGTATGGCTGCTTGTACTAGTCCTGACTGATAGTGCTAGCTCACTGAGATACCATGCCGCAGTTTAACATGAATACCCCACTGACTCCGAACCGACCAGTCCTTGTTTTAGCCCCTTAATGCCGAGCGACAGACAGTGTAACAAGAAGTACCATCTTTTAACGTCTTCTGGTATGACGCGGTCGGGCATCGAACCCCGGACCTTCCGCTCTCCGGGCGGACGCTCTACCACTAGACCACGGAGGCGGTCTATGTATGTACAGTATCTATGTATGCCATTCTCAAATTGGTCCTGTTTGTCTTGTCATCATTTGATTAAAATATTTCAAAAGATAACAGACCTCACACATGACTTAAAATCTTTGTGAAATCGTTGACAAAAATTAAATCCACAGTTTACATATTTAAATGTACCAAAATCCATCAGTGATGCAACAATTTTGATGCTGTTTTTTAATTATTTTTCCACAATGCAATTTTCTTTGTATGTTGAGCAGTTTTGGGTTGCCTTGTCTACTAAAGCAAAGTATTTGTGAATTAAATATTTTGAGAAAAAGTATGTTTCTGCTTTATGCATTATTTCAAATAACAAAATTCATGTAGTCCTTATTGTTAAATTCATTTTTCATGCTAGGTACAGTTATGTTTAATAAGGTCAATACTGAAAATTAGTACTTGTTGATAAGTATAATGACACAATGATACCAGTGTTACCTCTTGATCAGAACCGTTACCCAAATGACAAGAAAAATATGCCACTGATTTCACTTCTTATTACACACAGTCTTGTTAATTACAAAGTCACTTGGTGTATTTTAGTGTCATTTGCATGCAATGGAAATTGGATGTCGTAACATAAATGCAAGTTAACGTCACAAGACCTTTTTAAAACGTTCTTTTTATGTTAGTGTTATACCAATTGCCAGTGCTGTTTCACCAAAGACAAGTTTGTCCTTGTCGGAAGCTCAATTGGGTTGATTAAACTATATAGGTAGTTTTAATATTGTTTCAATGTACTGAATATTTCTTATTTTGAAAAGCATATTTGCAAAAAATATAAATGAATAGTTTTCCTACTATGAGTGTAACACCAATGACACACTTGTCGTTATTCACATCTCTCTGCATTTGACATAGGCCTGGTTGCCGATAGTTCTACAAATAAACCTTATAAACGTGGAATAACACATTGCCATGAGACCCATTGCTAAACTGTCTTAACAATGGAACTAATGTAAATATAAAACAAACTGACGTCAAATTGTCATTGGTGTAACACTTATTTAAGATATGATTCATGGTGTTTTAATGTTCTTACAAAACATAATTAAAATCAATTTTCTGTGATACATGAAAAGCACATTTAAATGACAGTTACCTTTTACCTATCATAAAAGAGTATGTTAGATATTTCATGATATCAGTGACATAAGGCATTAAGTCATTGGAATAACAGGAGGCTTGTAGGGTATATTTTCGTTTGCATTATATTTATGATGTTTGTATCAAAGAACTTATTTCAGTTTGTAAAAGCCTCACCATGACAAAAAATACATAGATTTATATACTAACAACTACTCCCGCTGCATAGAAAAATGTGCTCGAGAAAAGAAATTAATAATCTCTGTGCATCTACCAATTTAAATCTGTTGAATCAGTGCACATGTGACAGATGTTACCATAATGACAACAGACAAAATGATGGTGCATTTCAAGCTTACATATCCTTTTCAACTAATTTGCTGCCTGCTTTTCATGTCGTCTACTTGGCCTCATGCACAGGAGGTGATCAGAAGGGATGATTCAGTTTCTTCTCAATTTTCTTTTATTTCAGCCATTTACGATATGTTACACCACTGGGTTTTTTACAAGCATATAATTTTGTATACGTATGCCTTGACTAGACTGTAACACTAGGTGATGCACGAGGTAAAATTAAAAGATAATAAATGTGCAATATGAATTATGAAATTAATCAATACACTTCGGGAAAAAATGCAAGCTCAAACTGATGTCACAGTCCACTGACAAGACAATTTACTGTATCTGGAATTAGCTGAACATTTCTTTATATGATTAAAATACGTAAAACGTGAGATCAATCTTCTAAATTTATATACATAAATGTATTTAGTAATCACATATTGTTTCGAATCCCCCTCAATGGTCATTTTGTGAGAATTGCTCAATTGACCATGAAAGTGACCAGTCTTGAGAATCACCAATGTATGTATGTGTGTACGTGTGTGTGTGTGTGTGTGTGTGTGTGTGTGTGTGACTGTGCGTATGTGTGTCTGTGCGCGTGTGTGTCTGTGCGCGTGTGTGTGTGTGTGTTATGTGTTGTTATATATCATGTGTATCAACATCTCACGCTCCAGGAGGGTGGTTGGGGCCCGGGCGTCTAAAGCGCCGTTGTACGCTCTTCCGAGTATCCGTTGACACTGGGTTCGAATCCTACATTCGCCCTGATTATGAGCTTTTGCCAGCATCATTCCGTTGCTGAAAAGTGGTAAACGGTTGACGCCTACATTAATTCGGGGTTTCCTCCAACGTGAAATGCTCACTCACTCACTCACTCACTCACTGGGTACATTAATTCGGGTTTTCCTCCAACGTGAAGTGTTCACTCACTCACTCACTCACTCACTGGGTACATAAATTCGGGTTTTCCTCCAACGTGAAATGCTCACTCACTCACTCACTCACTCACTCACTCACTCACTCACTCACTCACTCACTGGATACATGTGATGTTATTATCACGGATATATACTAAGTCGTAAACACTGATATCATACTGTGTTTCAGGGCTCCTGTATTGCTGTTATTGTGTTCCAGATGTCGGGATCTGTGGCTGAGAAACCGAGTGACTTGCTGACGTGTGTAATGTGCAATAATGTGTACACAGACCCCTGTACACTGAGGTGTGATCACACATTCTGCAGGAAATGTGTCACAGGATACATCCAAACCAGACCAGATGCTGTACAGTCCAAGACGATCCCCTGTGCCTTCTGTCGTCAGTTTACCAAGGTCCCCCACCCTAGCAGGCCTCTGGAGGAATGGGCGGGGCAGATCAAACCCAGTATCATTATACAGCGGCTGATTGACATTCATGAACCTGAGCATACAAGATCAGGTATTAAATATATTTAAATAATATATTTATGATTAAGAAAAGTGCTTTGCCTAAAGAAATTATGAAGGCGAAATACGTTCGTATGACACTGCTTATTGGTCTTAAGCTCCTCAGTTCCATTTATAAAAGAACTGAAGACAATGTCACGCTAAACAAGTGAAATAATATTTTCATCTGTTATGCAGTTAAACTTTTGCCAGATTGTTTTACATGCATTTCACGAATCAGAGATTTTTCTTTATATTTTATCTTTAAGGTTTAATATTTGTTAAACATGACATTAAAGTTGTCCAACTCTTGTCCAATTATGATTGCAATAATTACTATTATTCATTAAAAATGTTTATTTGTAGATATTGCGGATTCCCAACACTGCTATGTTTGTTGGGAACTAGGGGAGACAACTCGTGCAGCTTTATGGTGCCCTGACTGTGACGTTCCGCTCTGTGACAGATGCGTTCGGACACACCGTGCATCCCCTGCCTCTCGTGAGCATCAGCTGTCCGATCTTTCTTGGAGGCACAGAATGAAAAGGAACCGGAAATTAACGTGTACAGACCACACGGATGAACAAGTCAAATTTCTTTGCATGGATTGTAGCAAATTGTCCTGTCAGTCGTGCAGTGTTCTTTACCATCGGAAATGTGAATCTGTCCTCACGATTAAATCACAGCTGCCGCTGCTGAAGTCTGGATTATCTTTGAAAAGAAAGATCATGCACAACGCTCTGCAGAACAAAAGGACTAAGAAATCCAAGCACGAATTAAAAGTGAAACACCTGTCAGAGACGCATCAGTTAATACATGCAAACATTCAGGCAATTACAGAAACAATTGTTAAAAACATAAAACTCAAGGAACAACAATTGTTAGATGAACTTGATACCATAACGAGGACCATCACCGATGACATACAGGCTGTTTTGAAACACGAAGAGATCGAGATGCAGATGTACAGACAACATTGTGAGTTCATTGACCAGGCCTTGTTATCGGACTGTGAGATGGACCTGTATGACGCGTATCAGGCCTGGGAGTTCGGAGCTGCTGACTTTGGTGATTGTCCAGACAGAGACAAAGCAGACACACGGAGAATAGACGACATCAGGTTTACACCAGACACTGACAACGTCCAGCAACTCCTAGATGACCTACTACTGGGAACGATTGACGTCACATATGAGGATGTGCAGAAACCACCTTCTTATTGTTTGTTATATGAGACGATGGACGGACGGACAGATGTTGATGAACGGGAACCGTACCTGCGTGATAATACTGTTCTTGTTGTAAACGACATTGAAACACTCGTAGTGACCGACTGGAATGAAAAAAGCGTGAAATCCTTCTACACCAGGAAGGATCATTCATGCCACAGCAAACTATCCCTCAAAAACTCTCCATTTGGAGTGGCATATTTGAAGGAAAACCACGTTATCGTTACGATCCCAAGATCTCATCAGATTGTGACAATCGGAGTGACCCCTGACTTAGATCTGCTTTCAACCATCGACACCAGCAAGGCGTATTACAGTGTTGCTGTTCTGAATCCCGCGTCTTTAGTAGCCGGTGCCATTAACTGTGTGGACATCTTAGATATGGAGGGGAAGGCTCTGAGATGTGTCAGCGGACCTGGAGATGAGTTACCCCTGACCTATCCATACTACATCAGCGTGAGCAGCAAGGGCAACATACTTGTGTCTGACTGTTGGAAAGGAGTAGCAAAATGCCTGACATCAGAGGGTGACGTTATGTGGACATACGCCCCTACCGAAGACAAAGCAATCAGTGATCCTTGTGGCATCGTGGCAACCCGCACGGGTTATGTTCTACTTGCAGACCGGCGTTTGAACAAGGTCGTGCAACTGACAGAGAAGGGAAGGTTTGTCCGAGATGTAATCACAACACGGGATGACATCAAGTCACCATTGGGTCTCGCTGTGGACAGACATGGCTCCATATGTGTGTGTGATAAAGACGGCATCAAACGCTTCATTCTAACGTTATGAAATTGTTACATGTGAATAGAACGTACATTTGGCCTATATTATCCTGTATCCAAGACAGGATGATATCAAGTCAACACTGGGGCTCTTTCTGGACAGACATGGCTCTTAAAGTTTGTGTAATAAAGACGGCATCCAACGCTTTATTCTGACGTTATGAAACTGTAACACGTGGCTGAAACGTTATGATGATACCCTATCCTGTATCTAAAAATCCGTGACAAATTGCATTTGTATCTGTTCTCTTGTGTATTTCGAAGACATGCACGTGTAGGTATGTGAGCAAATAAATGTCATTTCCTGTATGATGCTGACAAACCTAGAAACATAATCGGGGCGAACCGGGATTCGAACCTACAATCATAGGGTTCTGGCGTGCCAAGGGACGCAACTCTGTACAGCGAATCGCGGCGCCTTAGACGACTGGGCCACCCGTGCCCCCTCCTGTATGTGAAACAGAAGCTATGCAAGAACCAAACAGTACGAACCACCACTTTCTTCAATTAAATGTGAGTGAGTGAGTGAGTATGGTTTTACGCCGCTTTTAGCAATACTCCAGAAATATCACAGCGGGGGACACCTGCAATGGGCTCCCCACATTGTACCCATGTCGGGAATCGAACCCGGATCATCGGCGTTACGAACGAACGCTTAAACCACTAGGCTACCCGACCGCCTCTTATGTAATGAAAGGCTGGATGAAATATCGTAGCATCCACCTTTCCTGTTTAAGATTTGTCTCCTGGTGGGACACATACCATGAGGTATACAGAAGAGTGTTGTACACTACGATAAACGTCTAAACATTTCATCGTTTACATACTCTTACGCCCCGTGAAGATCCGGGGTAGAATATATAGGTCTTCAGCAACTCATGCCTGCCGTAAGAGGCGACTAACGGGATCGGGTGGTCAGGAACACTGGCTTGGTTGATGCATGTCATCGTACCCCAATTGCGTGGATCGATGCTCATGAAATGAGCCACTTGATTGTCTGGTCCAGACTCGATTATATACAGACCGCCCTCATATAGCTGGGATATTGCTGCGTGCGGCGTTAAACAACAAACAAACAAACATATTCTTACTCCCCAAGTCATCTCCATATATAACGTGGCCATACGGTACAAGTTCAAATAGGGAGTCTCATCAGACAACGGAGTCAGTGATGACCCACGAGGCTGGGCACGATAACGTAAAGTCAGCCAGGTCAGGTCGTTTCTTACGATTAGCATGAGATACGTGGGACTGCCTGACACACTGCCCCAACATCCTTTCTGAGTCTCGGCGCCAAATGTGTTTATGGTTATAGTGAGTGAGTGAGTGTGGTTTTACGCCGCTTTTAGCAATATACCAGCAATATCACGGCGGGGGACACCAGAAATGGGCTTCACACATTGTACCCATGTCGGGAATCGAACCGGGGTCTTCGGCGAGACGAACGCTTTAACCACTAGGCTACCCGACCGCCCCGTTTATGGTTATAGAAAACGGCGATTCCTTCGGAATTGGTACAGGGAGCCTGAAGCCATGCATTTAGTAATACAGCTAAAGTTAGCTTCAAACAAATAGCAATATAGAAATACAGGATGTATACTCCTCAACTCAGGTGGGGGGCGGTCGGGTAGCCTAGTGGTTAAAGCGTTCGCTCGTCACGCCGAAGTTCGATTCCCGACATGCGTACAATGTGTGAAGCCAATTTCTGGTGTCCCCCGTCGTGATATTGCTGGAATATTGCTAAAAAGCGGCGTAAAACTATTCTCACTCCCATATTCAACTCAGGTGGAGACTGAGTGTGACTAAATACTTATATATGCTTTCATACAAATATAATTCGATATCACGAGGGAACTGGTGCATTTTCTGTCACATTCAAACATACGATAAAGTTTCCTACCAGTATGAAGCATCTTATCCTTCTCAAACGTTGAGTAGTATGGTTGTGGCATACGCTTATAGTATGACAGCGACCTGCTCATGTTAATATACACCTTGTGGGTACATGGACGAGCTTACTATCTTTGCACCAATATGCCAGTACCATGGTGGAACTTAACATATCGCAGTTATCAGATAACTAGCAGAAGAAACGGCAGCTTCGGTTTGTCTTTATATGTTCTCTGTGGGTCTTCAGTTTTGAGATTGTTGATATCTTGATTTCACCCACTTGCATTTCATTGCTACAATATGTTGCAGCTATGTATGTCGTCATGGATAAAAACAAGGGCTGGCCATGGCCATCAGTGTATAAATCCCTGAAACAATAAAATAGGTTTTCCGCTTGACACAATACACTAGACATGCACAGTATTATTGGACGTTGCATGATGATCAGATGAGTAGCACTTATTCCAGATATTGTAGAATTCGTGTCACAATTCGTCAAAATGTAAAGACATATTTTTTTATTTTATTCACGGGGATACTGTTTTTGTATTTTCTTAAACAAGCCTAAAACTAATGTATACTCCACAGGATGTAGAAATCCATTTTTACGTCAACACATAATAATAATCTTTGTAGAATTAAGGTCATCGGGTAGATTATGCGTTCTCAATAAAAAAACGATTGAACATAGACCAAAGAACATAAGAATCAAGTCGTCAGTTCGATATCTACAATATGTGCGTTGCATAACATAAAAATATAATATGGATTTTAAATGTGTATTTGTTGATTCAGGCTGTATATATCAGAAATGCTTTCGAAAGTGATCGTATCAGTAGTGGCTGCGGAGTGACCTCCCTTGTGTGTAAGGGGGCGTTGTATGTCAACACAGAGAACTGTCGCGGGTGGGATTCTCGCATCGAGTCGTGGCATTGAATATCAGGGGAAGTAGTATTCAACACCTCACCGCTGTTTTAGGGTACGTGTTCCGCTCAATTCACTTATGTGTGTCATGTTCTGTTAAGATGTTAGCCTACACGGATAAACTCCATGTCATTTCGATAAAGTGAAACCGAAAATAGAAATACTTAGCAGAGTAAGTTCTGATAACACCATGACATGTTTAGTGTTGATGTCACAAAGGTGTAAATGTACATGCTAACAGTACCTGGTATTTCTAAAATATACAGATTTCTTTTACATACATCAAACAGGCGACTTCGAAGATTGTTACCATCTTCAACCACATGCAAATGCTCACCACCCTCTCAATGCATGTTGAGCGCCTCTGTGGTCTAGCGGTAGAGCGCCCGACCTGAGAGCAGAAGGTCGGGGGTTCGATCCTCGGCCGCGTCATACCAAAAGACGTTAAAGGATGGTACTTGTTGTTACCCTGTCTGGCGCTCGGCTTAAAAGGGCTAAAACAAGGACTGGTCGGCTCGCAGTCAGTATACTGTGTCTGAGTCGGGTATTCATGTTAAACTGTGGCATGGTATCTCAGTGAGCTAGCACTATCAATCGGCAATAGGTCCGGACTAGTACAAGCAGCCACACACACACACACACACACACACCGCACACACACACACGCGCGCGCGCGCATGCACGTCGCTTTATTAGTGCAATAATCTTCACCTCACCCTGCCTCTTTGTTCTGTGAGTTGTGCTTACATGGCAGAAAAGAAGTCTTTTAATATCACTAGGGTACAATATGCTTACTATTTACCGTGCAAGAAATACATGATCAATGATACTCTACTGGGAATAGAAACAGATGGATGCATGATATATCGTCAAGTTATCACCAGTCGTGACAACAGCAAATTAATATTTTAGTTTAGCAAAGTAAACTGTCGAGCGTTTACAAAATATAATTCTTTGTTTATTGTATTTCTGAAACTGATTAATATCAGTGTTGTGTTGTTTTCTAGAAGGCTGGTAACAACTTTACCATGACGCATATACATAACTATGATGGTTTGACACTTTCGTATTCAAACCGTCACAATATCTAGAATTAGCCTTGGGGAATTAGCTCGGGATCGGGCACCAATCAAAGAAACCAAACAAAGTGTCTATGGCCAGCTCCTTTATTGGGGATTTCTCGACAGTCTGTTTACATTTAAAATAAGAAATATTTTTACATATATAGTACAAAGTCATGTAGACATTTACAGTTTTCACAAAAGAAGCAGTTATCACAATAGTGTGTGACATTAAACAATGATTACACATAAGAGTGTAAATTTCATGATACATAAACGTACGGTAAGCTAAGTGATAACACAACCAGTTACAAATAACAATATTAAAGTCAGTCTACAAAGATACCTACGAACAAGACTTACATAATCTTATGTGACACTTATTTTCAGCCACTCCTAATTATGATTACGCCTTGCTAACTGGGACTGCCATAAGGTATGTCTTATTTACGTACAATTCTAGTTAAACCCAGTGTCGGTATCAAATGTACGCAGATTTAATATAAATAACAACGTGTAATGGCTGTAACTTCTGAGCATATATCATTCATTTTTTATGCTGGTATATGTTATACTTGAAGGCCATATCTATAATTGATCTAAACTACCGCAGCAAACAAACTATATCTGATAGCATTCATCCACATACACTGAGTTAACGGGCCCATTAACAAATGTCCATTCACATTACTGAATGGTATAATATATGGATATATGGATATTTTAGACATTGCTCGTAATGTAGACATGTTTGCTGAAGCTGTGTTACAAATGCATTATGCTCATACCTATGTAAGTACAAGAGAGTTACCTATCATATTTGTACATCGCTAACAGATTAACTAAATGATTACATGGATATTATTACTGATTTTAGCTCTGGCTTAGTTGTGCTATTAGCATAAATTTGTGTGATGTAAATACATCATATATTAGCTAAAAGAAATTAACGTTTTCTGCCAGGCTAGTTCAATCAAATAACTCTTATATTATTTAAGTTATTTAAAGCAGTCTGGATTCTGTTTATGAACAAGTAATACACGTACATGCAATGTATTGTTCATCATAGAATCCTTACATGTACATACTTCGTGTGATATAAAAAGTCTCATCAAAGTGAGGTAGTTCGTTTCATTTACACGACGTTTTCACATATATACAAATTAACTGAATCACACTAAAATAACAACACCCAGATAAAATACACAGCTTGCTACCACGACACCCGAGTCTTAACACCTTATTTGCGACTCGGAACATGTTTGATATTCAATATATGCTATACCGTGGAGTAAATACGTAAACGATAGTTTTGTCTAAACCTAACGCACATACATTGGACAGATGAGTCCGTTTAATAGATACAACCCACTTAATATATTTGCCCTTATACGTGGTCCATTACATAAGATTAAATACCTTTACAGCTGATAATATTGCTCCATATACGATACAAATTATAAAACAATTTAATTTATAAATTTAGAGAAATAGTAAAGTGAACATGACTTACCTTCAAAGAGACCAAACAAAGTGTCTATGACCAGCTCCTTTATTGGGGATTTCTCGACAGTGAGGTACCCCCGGGGCTTTTCTAAGAAGTTTGACCAAGTGATGTCCACATAAGTTGAATAATAATTGATGAAGTTGTCCGAAAATATTGATATGATGTTGACGTATCAGCGGCAAGCGGTCACCGAAATGGAGGCTGAGACACGTACAGATAGATGATGCTGACCATGCTCCAAGGATGTTATGTAATTGTCTAGATAGCTGCGACCTTCACATGTGAGACTGACTGAATACAGCACCTTACATTCAATTTAATATAACACCATAAAGACTATTACCACAGTTACCTATTTTATAAATATTGAGGAAAAAATGACCAATTTTACAACTTTGACATAACTAGAACTGCATTAATTTCTAAACCAAACCGGCCTTATATCACCAGTATGCATACATGTTGTAATTACAGTTCACTTTACGGAAAATACTTTTCTCATTTGTTTTCTATCAAATTTTCCAGTTTTACAGATGGCGACGTCACGGGCCGAGAAAGTGATGGAATTCCTCACCTGTGTGATCTGCCAGGAACTGTACACAGACCCCTGTACACTGAGGTGTGATCACACATTCTGCAGGAAATGTGTCACAGGATACATCCAAACCAGACCAGATGCTGTACAGTCCAAGACGATCCCTTGTGCCTTCTGTCGACAAGATACCAAGGTCCCCCACCCCAGCCGGCCAGTGGAGGAATGGGCGGGGCAGATCAAACCCAGCATCATTATACAGGGGCTGATTGACACACAGGAAACTGCGAGACGAACGACAGGTGTGATTTTTATACATTAACAGGTTATCCAGCAATTGAATGACATATGACAGCATGAACACTTACAGTGAAACACATCCGCCACAGACCCATCTTTTTTGTTTCTAATTCCATTTTCATCGAAATAGTTTATGTCTGTTTCCAATCATGCCTTCAAATCTGTAACTTGAACATGTAAATGGATATATGTATGTGTTAAATTATACATAACCCACTCACACCTAATAATGATATTCCTTCACAGGTGATGATTCCTACAACAACTGCTGCCTGTGTGACAAGCTAGGGGAGACAACTCCTGGGACCGCCTGGTGTTCTGATTGTGAAGAGTCCCTCTGTGGCAGATGTTCCAAAATACACCACGAAAGTTCTGCAACTCGTGACCATGAATTATGTGACCTGTCTGGAGAGGTCAAGGTGAAGAAGACACGCAAGGTCATGTGTCAGGAACACAAGGATAAGAAAGTAGAATATCTCTGTCTGGACTGCAACAAGTCACTGTGTCAGTCATGCTGTGTGGTCTACCACAGGAAATGTGACTCTGTCGTCACAATCAGCTCTCAGATGACGGGGATAAAGCTTGGGTTATCTCGTAAAGTCAATGGTCTTAAGAAAAAGCTTTTTGGTAAAAGCAAAAAGATAGAAAAACAAAAATCAAGAGTAAGTGAAATAAAAGACAATAAAGCGTCCGTAAAAAAACACATCAGATCAACTACAAACAGACTCGTCGAACACATCAAGCACAAGGAAAAGAAGCTGTTGGATGAATTGGATGCAAAAACAGATACTCATATCTCTCATGTTCGCGCAGCTATAAAGCTTGAAGAGATTGAGATGCAGATGTACAGACAACATTGTGAGTTCATTGACCAGGCCTTGGTATCGGACTGTGAGATGAACCTGTATGACGCGTATCAGGCCTGGGAGTCGGGGGCTGTAGAGTTGGGCGATGTCATGGACACAGACACAGCAGACACACGAAGAATAGATGACATCAGGTTCACACCTGACACTGACAACGTCCAACACATCCTAGATGACCTACAGCTGGGGGAGATTGACGTCACATACCAGACTGGATCATGTCGGAAATCTTCTCCGGTAATGGTTGACACGACTGACGGCAGGGTGGAGGGAGATGTGGAGGAACCTGATCTACATGACGTCACAGTCCTGCTTGTAAATGGTATACAGACATGTGTTGTCACTGACGCCAAAAACAAGTGTGTGAAATCTTTCTACACTACAAACAATCAACCATGTCATAGTAGACTCCCCCTGGATGACTCTCCATCGGGAGTAACACAGTTGAAGGAGAAGCAGGTGATGGTTGCTGTCCCTGACTCCAGTCAGATTGTAACAGTAGAAGTGACCCCTGGCCTGGTGCTGCTCTCAACCATCACAACAAGCAAAGGGTACTACAGTCTCGCTGTTCTAAGTCCTTCATCTCTAGCAGCAGGTGCAATTCACTGTGTTGATATCCTGGACATGGCGGGACACGTGCTGACGTCAGTCACTACACACAACAATGAGACACTGTTTACCTACCCCGACTACATGTGTGTCAACAACAAGGGCAACATGCTCGTGTCTGACTGGGAAAAGAAGTCTGTGACATGTCTGACGTCAGAGGGGGATGTTGTGTGGAGATACGCCCCTACCGGAGACAGAGCACTCAGCTTCCCTTGTGGTACCACAACTACCGGCACAGGAGGCTTCCTGCTTGTAGACACCCACAAGGTGATACACCTGACAGAGTCGGGGGAGTATGTCAGAGATGTTCTCACGTCACAGGATGGTGTGTGCTCTCCACAAGGTCTCTGGTCGGACAAACATGGCTCCATATTTGTGAGCGATTATGAAAACATCAAGGAATTTATCATGACATAGGGATTGAGTAAATACAATGTGACGCATTATGTCGCTACGATCTACTAGGGCCTAAACAATTTCTGGTTCGGGTTACCCTCCAATATACACCACATCTCTGACGCACACAATAATATAAATCCAACAGAAACAAAGACCCGTATGTTACAATAACTGCAAACTCACGACCCCGAACTCTGACGTCCAAGGAGATACACCGTGACCTCGCGTCAGTGCACCAACGTCCAACGTTTGAAACAATGTCTAAACATAACATCGGGAACTCCCATGTATAGGACTAGGAAAACTGTAATCAACTTTCAAAACATCAATTGAACAAACTGTTTAAAGGCGAATATATTAGCGTATGGCATCATATTGCATATATGTTCACTGCCGTCATAATGGCCAGCGCTTGCGACAGATGTCAGAAACTATACCTCATATATAGCCCCGGGGAATTGTCCTATTGACATATAATTAGATGACCTGGGGTTAATGTAGAGAGTGTGTGTGTGTGTGTGTGTGTGTGTGTGTGTGTGTGTGTGTGTGTGTGTGTGTGTGTGTGTGTGTGTGTGTGTGTGTGTGTGTGTGTGTGTGTGTGTGTGTGTGTGAGAGAGAGAGACACATAATGTGTATAGGAAGCCACTCTGTATCAGCTATTGCTCTGAAATAATATCTATGTACCGTAGGCCTGTGGCCCCTTCAGCACTACAATAAAGATTGACTGTTTGATCTACTGTGGCATACACTTACTGGTAATAGCTATTAGCATACTTTGGTGAAACAAGAGACAGTGAAATGGCGCTTACAAGCACGCGGGATCACAATCAGAAAGACTCACGGATTCGAACCGACGACTAACGGATCTAGAGGCAAGGGAGAGAACTCTACACGAGTGATTGTGTTGCCCATTGCCGCCGAAGTAGATTAGGAGCAGTGTAGCTCATTATGTCCCAATACTACATTTGTCATAAAACAGGTGTTGCCTTTTATAGAACACTAAGATGAATGATATTCAGTACTAGTTCATTGTGTCCGTAGGACGGAGGCAAAGCAAAGCAAAGTATCAATGTTGTAATTTGTCACTGATGTATTGCAATCATATTATGATTATGTATGATTTTACGCCGCTTTTAGCAATATTCCAGCAATATCACGGCGGTTGACACCAGAAATGAGCTTCTCGCATTGTCTGCATGTTTGGCGTGACAGGCGAACGCTTTGACCACAAGGCTATGGTCATTGGCTAGGAGCCTGACTGAAAACTGACAATACATGAGTTAAGAACAAAATAAAACAAAATACTGTTACTGAATAACAAATTGATGGGCTTCTAACAGCGGTAGTAGCATAAAGATTCTTGTGAGGATTCTGGCTCGTTGGCCTTTTTGGCATCATTTAAAATTCTTTGTACTTAAACTATACATAAGTTTATAGCGATTAACTGTTTATTTTCAGTTGATATTGTTTGCAAGTACTCCATGTTTTACGGAATTAAAACCTCCAATAAGCTCTATGCTGATTTATATTTCGAAAGGTATGAATCACCACTCGTCGAGATGTCGCAGTTAGCTCCCTTGTATATTATGCAGACCTGGCAGACACCCTGTGTGTCTCGGCGGGATACCTTTATTTCAACACCTCCAAGACACACAGTAAACCGCACACAGTGCACACGATGAACTAGTGTATGGCCAGAACATCGATAGCATCGACTGTTACAGGTATGTGTTTCTCAAACACTGATTTAGTTTTGTAAACACACATGAATTTCTGATCGATAGTTCACACGAAGAAAGTATTATGCTGATAAGAAGGAGCTGTACGAACCAGGGCAATAATGAAATGCGAAAGTATTGACATTATAACTTTCTTGTATTGTTATGAGTTCTGCAAGTGTCTGGCATACATGTTAAATCACGCAATACAGATATGTTGACTTGGTCCCGAATACAATCGTTTACAGTTACCTCCCTTGTATATTGACAGAGGCTATGGGTTTCACCATGGTGCTGACATGGGTCGATAAAAGTCATTTTTGGACAACACTGTATCTGAATTATTCCAAAGCTGTTAATGCTAAACACAATCGTATTTATAACAGGAATACATCAACCGCACTTACCTCAAGAAGTTACATGAGTTAATCATAAAGAGTGATGTAATGAGTTAGTGAGTGAGTTGGGTTTAACGCCGCTTTAATATCACGGCGTGTCAACTTAATGTGGGAGGAAAGCCTGAAGTGTTGCAGGTCTCAGACTTCAACTTCGGTGAAACCAACGAGCACGGGTATGGTGCTGACAAACCTAGAAACATAATCGGGGCGAACCGGGACTCGAACCCACAATCATAGGTTTCTGGCGTGCCCAAGGAATACAATTCTGCACTGCGAATCACGGCGCCTTAGACGACTGGGCCAATCGTGCCCCTAGTAATGTAATGAAAAAAGGCGTTGTCCCCAAAATAGTATAATCTACACACATTTCTAAGACGTCTTGTTTAACATGATATCAAGATATGAAGCATAATGTATTCCTGTAGGACTATGGTAGGGTCAATCTATATTCAATTATTCAAGAATGTTGCACTTATATAGCGATGTGCATGCTCTTGTGTGTGGGCACACGTGCTGTGTATCTTTGAGGCTGCTTGTACTAGTCGAGACTAATGCCGATTTTATGGTGTTAGCCCTCTGAGATATATGTACCATGCCGCATTTTAACAGGAATACCCAAGACAGACACAGTATACTGACTCTATCTTGTTTTGTCCCATAATGCCGAGCGCCAGGCAGGGTAACAACAAGTACCGTCTGTTAACATCTTTTGTGATGACAAGGCCAGGGCTTGAACCCACGGCCGTCACTCTCCGGGCAGATGCACGTCATTCTCGACGTTGAAAAACAAGCTATATGGTTTACTCATTGACATCATTGTAGATTGTCTCAACCAAGACATTCGTAACCACATATACAACGTTCAAACAAGGTTATTTGTGCGACGTCATGACCTGTTTTACAGATGGCGACGTCGTGGAATGAGAAAGTGACGGAGTTCCTCACCTGTGTGATCTGCCAGGAACTGTACACAGACCCCTGTACACTGAGATGTGATTACACATTCTGCAGGAAATGTGTCACTGCATACATCCAAACCAGACCAGATGCTGTACAGTCCAAGACGATCCCCTGTTCTTTCTGTCGACAAGATACCAAGGTCCCCGACCAAAGCAGGCCAGTGAAGGAGTGGGCGGGGCAAATCAAACCCAGCATCATAATACAGGGGCTGATTGACACACAAGCTGGAGATACTACTGAAGGTAAGACACGCCCACATTTTAAGGATGATAATTCTAGAATTCCACAGCAATTTGTTCTGTTTTTATTACTTTCTTGTGTAGTCTTGTAAGAGTGAAATGTACACAGGACTCTTGAGAATGAAAGAAAGAAAATATAAAGAATGAATGCATGAGTGAATTTAATTAATTAATTTATTGATCAGAAGATTCCCAAAACATCCACGTAATTATTTACAAACAAAGTAATCAAACAGACATATCAGAATCAGTGCACATGTGACAGATGTTACCCCAATGACAACAGACAAAATGATGGTGCAAGTCAAGCTTACATATCCTTTTCAACTAATTTGCTGCCTGCTTTTCATGTCGTCTACTTGGCCTCATGCACAGGAGGTGATCAGAAGGGATGATTCACTTTCTTCTCAATTTTCTTTTAATTCAGCCATATACGATTTGTTACACCACTGGGTTTTTTACAAGCATATAATTTTGTATATGTATGCCTTGACTAGACTGTAACACTAGTTGATGCTCGAGATAAAATTAAAACATAATAAATGTGCAATATGAATTATGAAATTGATCAATACGCTTCGGGAAAAAATGCAAGCTCAAATTGATGTCACAGTCCACTGACAAGACAATTTACTGTATCTGGAATTAACTGAACATTTCTTTATATGATTAAAATACGTAAAACGTGAATCAACCTTGAAAACTTATATACATCAATGTATTTAGTAATCACACAGTGTTTCGAATCCCCCTCAATCGTCATTTTGTGAGAATTGCTCAACTGACCATGAAAGTGACCAATCTTGAGAATCACCAATGTATGTATGTATGTACGTGTGTGTATGTACGTGTGTGTTTGTGAGTGTGTGTGTGTTTGTGAGTGTTTGTGAGTGTGTGTGTGTGTGTGTGTGTGTGTGTGTGTGTGTGTGTGTGTGTGTGTGACTGTGCGTATGTGTGTCTGTGCGCGTGTGTGTCTGTGTGTGTTATCTGTTGTTATACATCATATGTATCAACGTCTCACGCTCCAGGAGTGTGGTTTGGGCCCGGGCGTCTAAAGCGCCGTAGTACGCTCTTCAGAGTATCCTTTGACACTGGGTTCGAATCCTACATTCGCCCTGATTAAGAGTTTTTGCCAGCATCATACCCTTGCTGAAAAGTGGTAAACGTTTGACGCCTACATTAATTCGGGGTTTCCTCCAACATGAAATGCTCACTCACTCACTCACTCACTCACTAGGTACATTAATTCGGATTTTCCTCCAACAAGAAATGCTCACTTATTCACTCACTCACTGGGTACATTAATTCGGGTTTTCCTCTAACGTGAAATGCTCACTCACTCACTCACTCACTCACTCACTCACTCACTGGGTACATTAATTCGGGTTTTCCTCCAACGTGAAATGCTCACTCACTCACTCACTCACTCACTCACTCACTCACTCACGGGTACATGTAATGTTATTATCACGGATATATACTAAGTCGTAAACACTGATATCATACTGTGTTTCAGGGCTCCTGTATTGCTGTTATTGTGTTCCAGATGTCGGGATCTGTGGCTGAGAAACCGAGTGACTTGCTGACATGTGGAATGTGCAATAATGTGTACGCAGACCCATGTACACTGAGGTGTGATCACACATTCTGCAGGAAATGTGTCACCGGATATATCCAAACCAGACCAGATGCTGTACAGTCCAAGACGATCCCCTGTTCTTTCTGTCGACAAGATACCAAGGTCCCCCACCCTAGCAGGCCTGTGGAGGAATGGGCGGGGCAGATCAAACCCAGCATCATTATACAGCGGCTGATTGACATTCATGAACCTGAGCATACAAGATCAGGTATTAAATATATTTAAAAAATATATTTATGATTATGAAAAGTGGTTTGCCTAAACAAATTATGAAGGCGAAATACGTTAATTTGTTCGTATGACACTGCCTACTGGTCTTAAGCTCCTCAGTTCAATAGATAAAAGAACTGAAGACAATGTCACGCTAAACAAGTGAAATAATATTTTCATCTGTTATGCAGTTTAACTGTTGCCATATTGTTTAAAAAGCATTTCACGAATCAGAGATTTTCTTTATCCTCTATCTTTAAGGTTTAATATTTGTTAGACATAAAATTAAAGTTGTCCAACTCTTGTCCAATTATGAATGCAATAATGACTATTATTCATTAAAAATGTTTATTTGTAGATATTGCGGATTCCCAACACTGCTATGTTTGTTGGGAACTAGGGGAGACAACTCGTGCAGCTTTATGGTGCCCTGACTGTGAAGTTCCGCTATGTGACAGATGCGTTCGGACACATCGTGCATCCCCTGACTCTCGTGAGCATAAGCTTTCCGATCTTTCTTGGAGGCACAGAATGAAACGGAACCGGAAATTAACGTGTACTGACCACACAGATGAACAAGTCAAATTTCTTTTCATGGATTGTAGCAGATTGTCCTGTCAGTCGTGCAGTGTTCTTTACCATAGAAAATGTGAATCTGTCGTCACGATTAAATCACAGCTGCCGCTGCTTAAGTCTGGATTATCTTTGAAAAGAAAGATCATGCACAACGCTCTTCAGAGCAAAAGGACTAAAGAAATCAAAGCACGAATTAAAAGTAACATCCCTGTCAGAGACGCATCAGTTAATACATGCAAACATTCAGGCAATTACAGAAACAATTGTTAAAAACATAAAACTCAAGGAACAACAATTGTTAGATGAACTTGATACCATAACGAGGACCATCACCGATGACATACAGGCTGTTTTGAAACACGAAGAGATCGAGATGCAGATGAGTTCATTGACCAGGCCTTGTTATCAGACTGTTAGATGGACCTGTATGACGCCTATCAGGCCTGGGAGTCGGGGGCTGTAGAGCTGGGGGATGTCAGGGACACAGACACAGCAGACACACGGAGAATAGATGACATCAGGTTTACACCAGACACTGACAACGTCCAGCAACTCCTAGATGACCTACTACTGGGAACGATTGACGTCAAATATGAGGATGTGCAGAAACCACCTTCTTATTGTTTGTTATATGAGACGATGGACGGACGGACAGATGTTGATGAACGGGAACCGTACCTGCGTGATAATACTGTTCTTGTTGTAAACGACATTGAAACAGTCGTAGTGACTGACTGGAATGAAAAAAGCGTGAAATCCTTCTACACCAGGAAGGATAATTCATGCCACAGCAAACTATCCCTCAAAAACTCTCCATTTGGAGTGGCACATTTGAAGGAAAACCACGTTATCGTTACGATCCCAAGATCTCATCAGATTGTGACAATCGGAGTGACCCCTGACTTAGATCTGCTTTCAACGATCGTTACAAGCAAGGCGTATTACAGTGTTGCTGTTCTGAATCCCGCGTCTTTGGTAGCCGGTGCCATTAACTGTGTGGACATCTTAGATATGGAGGGGAAGGCTCTGAGATGTGTCAGCGGACCTGGAGATGAGTTACCTCTGACCTAGCCATACTACATCAGCGTGAGCAGCAAGGGCAACATACTTGTGTCTGACTGTTGGAAAGGAGTAGCAAAATGCCTAACGTCAGAGGGTGACGTTATGTGGACATACGCCCCTACCGAAGACAAAGCAACGTTATGAAACTGTTACATGTGAATAGAACGTACATTTGGCCTATATTATCCTGTATCCAAGACAGGATGATATCAAGTCAACACTGGGGCTCTTTCTGGACAGACATGGCTCTTAAAGTTTGTGTAATAAAGACGGCATCCAACGCTTTCTTCTGACGTTATGAAACTGTAACACTTGGCGGAAACGTTATTATGGTACCCTATCCTGTATCTAAAAATCCGTGACAAATTGTATTTGTATCTGTTCTCTTGTGTCTTAAGTATTTCGAAGACATGCACGTGTAGGTGTGTGAGCAAATAAATGTCATTTCCTGTACATGGAGCAAAGTGGTATGTCAACTGACAAATAACGAGCAAAGCATTTCTCTGTGAGATCATCCCGTTCTAAGTGCATATCAATGTTGGCAAAGTGTGCAACTTGATCTGTGGTCCTCCTGTATGTGAGGGAGTGAGTGAGTTGGGTTTAACGCCGCTTTTAACAGTATTCCAGTTATATCGCGGCGTGTCAGCTTAATGTGGGAGGAAAGCCCGAAGTGATGCAGGTCTCAGACGTTTACCACTTCGGTGAAACCCACGAGCACGGGTATGGTGTTGTCAAACCTAGAAACATAATCGGGGCGAACCGGGATTCGAACCCACAATCATAGGTTTCTGGCGTGCCACGGGATGCAACTCTGCACAGCGATTCGCGGCGCCTTAGACGACTGGGCCACCCGTGGCCCCTCCTGTATGTGAAAGAGAAGCTATGCAGGAACCAAACAGTACGAACCACCACTTTCTTCATGTAAATTAGTGAGTGAGTGAGTGAGTGAGTATGGTTTTAAGCCATACTCCAGCAATATCACAGCGGGGGACACCTGCAATGGGCCCCCCACATTGTACCCATGTCGGGAATCGAACCCGGATCATCGACGTTACGAACGAACGCTTAAACCACTAGGCTACCCGACCGCCCCTCATGTAATGAAAGGCTGGATGAAATATCGTAGCATCCACCTTTCCTGTTTAAGATTTGTCTCCTGGTGGGACACATAACATGAGGTATACAGAATAGTGTTGTACACTACGATCAACGTTTTAAACATTTCATCGTTTACATACTCTTACGCCCCGTGAAGATTCGGGGTAGAATATATAGGTCTTCAGCAACTCATGCTGGAGGCGACTAACGGGATCGGGTGGTCAGGAACTCTGACTTGGTTGATGCGTGTCATCGTACCCCAATTGCGTGGATCGATGCTCATGATATGAATCACTTGATTGTCTGGTCCAGACTCGGTTATATACAGACCGCCGTCATATAGCTGCAAAATTGCTGCGTGCGGCGTTAAACAACAAACAAACAAACATACTCTTACTCCTGTCCTCTCCATATATAACGTGGCCATACGGTACAAGTTCAAATAGGGAGTTTCATGGACAACGGAGTCAGTGATGACCCACGAGCCAAGGCACGATAACGTAAAGTCAGCCAGGTCAGGTGGTCGTCTCTTACGATTAGCATGAGATACGTGGGACTGCATGGACACACTGCCCCTACATCCTCACTGATTCTCTGCGCCAAATTTGTTTATGGTTATAGAAAACGGTGATTCCTTCGGAATTGGTACAGGGAGCCTGAAGTTATGCATGGTAATACAGCTAAAGCTAGCTTCAAACAAATAGCAATACAGAAATACAGGATGTATATTCCTCAACTCAGGTGGTGGGCGGCCGGGTAGCCTTGTGGTTAAAGCATTCGCTCGTCACTCCGAAGTTCGATTCCCGACATGGGTACAATGTGTGAAGCCAATTTCTGGCGTCCCCCGCCGTGATATTGCTGGAATATTGCTAAAAAGCGGCGTAAAACTATACTCACTCCCTCATTCAACTCAGGTGGAGACTGAGTGTGACTAAATACTTTTATATGCTTCATACAAATATAATTCGATATCACGACGGGACTGATGCATTTTCTGCTCCATTCAAACATGCGATAAAGTTTCGTACCAGTATGAAGGATCTTATCCTTCTCAAACGTTGAGTAGTTTGGTTGTGGCATCCGCTTAGTATGACAGCTACTTGCTTATGTTAATATACACCTTGTGGATACATGGACGAGCTTACTATCATTGGACCAATATACCGGTACCATGGCGAAACTTAACATGTCGCAGTTATCAGATAACTAGCAGAAGAAACGGCAGCTTCGGTTTGTCTTTATATGTTCTCTGTGGGTCTTCAGTTTTGAGATTGTTGATATCTTGATGTCACCCACATGCATTTCATTGCTACTTTATGTTGCAGCTATGTATGCATATGTCGTCATGGTAACAGACAAGGGCTGGCCATCAGTGTATAAATCACAGAAACAATAAAATAGGTTTTCCGCTTGACACAATACACTAGACATGCACAGTATTATTGGACGTTGCAAGATGAACAGATGAACAGCACTTATTTCAGATACATGTGGAATTCGTGTCACAATTCCTCAAAATGTAAAGATAAATTGTTTATTTTATACACGAAGATATTTTTTATTATTTTCTTCAACAAACTCCGTCTCCTAACGATGAGTGTTCTATGTGTCATACTCACAAAGAAAATATTTTTCATGTTTATATCGAATGTCATGTCAGATTTCTGTATTTACTTGACTCATATCTTGCATAGAAAAATCCTTATAACTGACAACGAGCTCCTCATTGGTACCTCTGATGTATTAATTAACCATTTGATTGTAGCTGCTAAAAGATTTATCTTTGTTCAGTGTATTAAGAATGAAAATGTTCACTTTGTTGCTTTTGAGAACACAATAAGAATTATCTATGATGTTGAATATCATATTGCACGTAGAAATAACGACTTCTCTGCCTTTAATAGAAAATGGGCTTTGTTTACTCAAACTGCAAAATAACTTATTCACTTGATGTTTGCAACATAATTTGATGTACCATAAATACCGCATCTTCTTAATTGTATACATAAATATGCCTTCATCTGTACCATGATGTGGACTATGCCTTTATCTGTACCATGATGTGGATTATGCCTTAGGCCTCCTCTGTACCATATCCTTTTGAGAAGTACCTGTATTCATAAAGCTGTATTGCTTTCCGAGTGCTTATGTATCCTGTGTATATGACTGAATAAAAATTTAAAAAAAAACAAAAAACTCCGTCTCCTAAAACTAGTGCATACTTACTCCACAGGATGTAGAAATCCATTTTTGCGTCATAACATAATATTAATCTTTGAGGATTAAGGCCATCGGGTAGATTATGCGTTCGCAATAAAAAAAAATGAAAATAGAACAAAGAACATAAGCATGAAGTCGTCAGTTCGATATCTACAATATGTGCGTGGCATAACAACAAAATATAATATGGAATTTAAATGTGTATTTGTTGATTCAGTCTGTATGTATCAGAAATGCTTGCCAAACTGACCGTATCATGAGTGGCTGCGGAGTTACCTCCCTTGTGTGTAAGGGGGCGTTGTATGTCTACACAGAGAACTGTCGCAGGTGGGATTCTCGCCTTGGACTTCAAGTCGTCAAGTCGTGGCATAGAATATCAGAGGAAGGAGTATTCAACACCACACCGATGTTTTAGGGTACGTGTTCCGCTCAATGTACTTATGTGTGTCATGTTCTGTTTAGATGTTAGCCTACACGGATAAGTGAAACCGAAAATAGAAATACTTAGCAGAGTAAGTTCTGATAACACCATGACATGTTCAGTGTTGATGTCACAAAGGTATAAATGTACATGCTAACAGTGACCTGGTATTTGTAAAATATACAGATTTCTTTTACATACATCAAACAGGCGACTTCGAAGATTGTTACCATCTTCAACCACATGCAAATGTTCACCACCCTCTCAATGCATGTTGACCGCCTCCTTGGTCTAGCGGTAGAGCGCCCGATCTGAGAGCGGAAGGACGGGGGTTCCATCCTCGGCCGCGTCATACCAAAAGACGTTAAAGGATGGTACTTCAGGGACTAAAACAAGGACTGTTCGGCTCGGAGTCAGGATACTGTGTCTGTGTGGGGTATTCATGTTAAACTGCGGGCATAGTATCTCAGTGAGCTAGCACTATAAATCGGCAATAGGCCACACACACACGCACGCACGCACGCACGCGCATGCACGTCGCTATACAAGTGCAATAATCTTCATCTCACCCTGCCTCTTTGTTCTGTGAGTTGTGCTTACATGGCAGAAAAGAAGTCTTTTAATATCACTAGGGTACAATACGCTTACTATTTACCGTGAAAGAAATACATGATCAATGATACTCTACTGGGAATAGAAACAGATGGATGCATGACATATCGTCAAGTTATCACCAGTCGTGACAACAGCAAATTATTTTTTTTAGCTTAGCAAAGTAAACTGTCGAGCGTTGACAAAATATAATTCTTTGTTTATTGTATTTCTGAAACTGATTAATATCAGCGTTGTGTTGTTTTCTAGAAGGCTGGTGACAACTTTTCCATGACGCATATACATAACTATGATGGTTTGACACTTTCGTATTCAAACCGTCACAATATCTAGAATTAGCCTTGGGGAATTAGCTCGGGTTCGGGCACCACTTCAAAGAAACCAAACAAAGTGTCTATGGCCAGCTCCTTTATTGGGGATTTCTCGACAGTCTGTTTACATTTAAAATAAGAAATATTTTTAGATATTAAGTACCAAGTCATGTAGACATTTACAGTTTTCACAAAAGAAGCATTTATCACAATAGTGTGTGACAATAAACAAGGATTACACATAAGAGTGTAAATTTCATGATACATAAACGTAGCGTAAGCTACGTGATAAAACAACCAATTACAAATAACAATATTAAAGTCAGTCTACAAAAATACCTATGAACAAGACTTACATAATCTTATGTGACACTTATTTTCAGCCACTCCTAATTATGATTACGCCTTGCTAACTGGGACTGCCATAAGGTATGTCTTATTTACGTACAAACCTAGTTACACCCAGTGTCGGTATCAAATGTACGCAGATAAAATATAAATAACAACATGTAATGGCTGTAACTTCTGAGCATATATCATTTTCTATGCTGGTATATGTTATACTTGAAGGCCATATCTATAATTGATCTAAACTACCGCAGCAAACAAACTATATCTGATAGCATCCACATACACTGAGTTAACGGGCCCATTAACAAATGTCCATTCACATTACTGAATGGTATAATATATGGGTACATGTACCTTTTAGGCATTGGTCGTAATGTAGACATGTTTGCTGAAGCTGTGTTACAAATGCATTATGCTCATACCTATGTAAGTACAAGAGA